ACTCCTACATACAATTTTAGTGAGCAGACTATAATTTATTAAACCATCAATCTAGTGGTCAGTTCAACATGTAATTGGTTGCTGTTTTATGTATCGTGTTAGCACTCTGTGTATTTTAACATCAGGAAATGGGATACACTGTTTAATCGGGTTCATTTCATGAGGCCTCCATGGTGGAACGTTCTAGTTTTCTCTCTATCCTCATAGGCACCATTTTCCCTTTGCTTTTAAAAATCAAGTATGTGTATGTGTGTATGTACACACACACACACACACACACATATATACATATATATAATTAAAAATCCTTCTAAATGGGCTTGATAGACCCTTTCGTAACCCCTCTCGGGTCTTACAAATATTTAAATTATATAATTGCTCTCTTCTGCTTGAGATTAATGGGATGATTGTCTAAAACATGATGAGAGCTTCAACCTTCTTAATTTCTAGTTAAAAATTATAGATATAATTTTTGGGGACTTCATTGAAATGTTATCATGTATTTCAGCCTGTGTTTTTCATTTGTGCTGTCTTGGTTGGACCTCAGCCTCTTGTGCTGTACGTCAAGTGTGCCTGGAAGTCACGTGTCCTTGACTCTGTCTTCCGAGGGATTCATCTTCCCTCCCAGACGTTCCCTCTTTGTTTTTCTCTGCTGATGTTTCTGCTCACGAAGCCATTCTAAGCGAGTTCATGGTGATGATGCTCTGATCTTCTGCAGTGCTTAATTCGGCCCACTTTACTTACACTCTGCTCTACGTGCTGATAAGCGCTTGCTTTCAGAGTGGGTGTAATTCTGTCCTCCGCAGGAGTCAGTGGAGGTCTGTGGACACAGCTGGAGCCCACCCTGAGTTCTCCCTCAATTTCTCATTCTTTGATGTTAAGGGAATCAATTAGGCTCCATGAGTTTTAGTATTTTGATGTGTAAAGTGGGGACATCTCCTAATTTTTAGAGTTGTTGACTATTATAACTAACAGTCAGATGGTGAGTTCTTTCTTTAGCACAAGTCTGGGTTTCTAATAAATATATAATAAATGACAGTATTACTTAATATTGTCATTATTCTGCTAATATTCTTCCAAGCCTTATAAACAAGTACACGAGAGCTTCTAATACAGTGCTAACCATGTGGTGAGGACTCTTCAGTGTGGTTCATCAGTATGTCACTTCCTGTTGGCCCTGCTCTGTCAGACCTAGAACATTCTCACAATTTTTATGGACCTGTCTTTCTGTCTCATTGTCTGTAAGAAGAGCCTTTGGTATGTGTTCTCAAGTGGTTTCCAAAGCAGTGATTTGAAATATTTATTTATTTGTTTTTGAATTATGTTTTGGTTTGATCTCTACATTTTTCTAAATATTAGTAGCCAAGATTGTAATAACTAAAGCATTTTTTACATACTTCAGATGAAGTGTATGAAATACGTAGAATAAAATCCCAGCTAATCCAAAATACAGATGAATAAATTCCTTTGCTTAACTTACTCCACCTCAAAAGACACTTCTTACTGGATCTCCTGTGTGCCAGGCATTTTGTAATTTATACAGATGAGTAACAGGGTTTCTGCTTTTGAGTTTAGGGTTGATGAGAGATATAAAACAAGATCATTTTGATAGATAATTTGTTTGAGGTGAAAATATGGATGAGCTTCTGAGAGATCATTGACAAAGGATGATTGCAAGGAAAAGATACTTATGGGAAGACACTATCTGATTCAGAGTCAGACTCAACTCCACGTGGCCCGTCATTTATGGGAATTTCTTGCCTCCAGATGAGACTTCAGATAGTGTCTTCCATCTTAACCTGGCCCTTCAAAAGCCAAATGGCCTCTGACTGACCATCTCACATGTCCTCACTTCCAGATCATTTGAGGGATTCTTTTTTCTCCTCCACAGTAAACTACACCTATCACTGAACTGTGCTGGACATTGCTAAGGAGTTTACATAAAGCCAGGGACTATTTTTAAATTCAGAATGAAGTCATGCCCCCAAACATTGAAAGAAAGCACAGGATTTCAGTAGAACAGGCAAGAAAAGTGCAAGGGAGGGAGGCCACTGGAAGCAGAGATGGGCTGTGGGCGTCATCGTGAGCTGTCCAGGAAACTGCAAGCTGTCGAGTGAGCGTCAGGCACGCGTGAGGGAGGGGAGGAGTTTCCATTGCTGGTCTAGTCGTCCTCCATAATAGTCATAGAAGGTGCTGAGATGTGTGTGCTGCTGGACACAGAGGGAGCCTGCCGTCCTAGCTACAGTACCGATTGGTGGAGCTGCAGTGAACTCTACATTCTATGCCTCCAGGAGCAGCTGACTTGGACCAAACAGTTTTAGTATTTTCCTTGATGCTGCTGGAGTTTCAGGAAATGAGACCTTTATGCCGTGTTCACAGAGGCTGAAGATGCTCCCTTTCTCTGCGGTTCAGGTTCCCTTCAAGTCCTGTTTCCTTATCCTGTCGTGTGAGGGCACTGGTTCTGAAACCTTGGCATCGTACCTGTAGCCATGCAGTTGCAACAGGCTGATCTGTAGTGTTTAAAGTTGCGTTCCTTGTACCCTGTCATCCACAAATATTTCAGCACCATCTCCCAGTGAGGTCATCTGACGTCAATCATGTGCTGCATCTTCAACAGAAGGCCGTGAGCATGCTTTACTTAGGATAGCTGTGCATTTGGTGGTAATCCATGACTGGCATGCTAAGGAGTGAATGACTGTGGGGGAGCAGTTAGCATTGTACCACAAGCTCTAGCTATACCAAATTATATGGAATTCATATAGTAGCTACGAACTTATTATTATATAGAACTTCTTTTTGAAATATGTAAACTGAATTGCTTTTATCCTGAACTTAGAGTTTTCTTTTTTGAAAATTATTTTATGTGCTATTGTTTTATTGTTATTATTATTATTGTTATTATTTTCATTTTTTTTAAGGTGGGGCCTGTTCCAGGTCTTGGCTGGCCTGGGACTCCCTGCATAGACTCAGCTGCCCTTGAAAGATGGCAGTCCTTCTGCTTCAGCCGTCTGAGCCATGAGCTTAGGTGTGACCAGCAGGCCTGGCTTTTGTGTCTTCTGAGTCTTGCGCTGTCTTGCTTCCGTCAGGGCCTTCGACACTGTCCACTGCTGGTTCTGCCTCTGCTTCCTTCCCAAAGTGCTCCTCTTTCCCTCTGAGTTGGGCTAGCAGCAGTAAAACCCTCAGAATGACTGTATGTTATCTTGTGCGCTTTGTATGTGCGTCACTCTTAAGGACCTTTGGCATCACGTTTCTGACTTTGGAACTGTTTGCAGCATCACTGAGGTATAATTGACAAACAAATATTTTGTATATTCAAGATAACATAGTATAATGTTGGATATATATCAATTATATGTATGTAGATACATGTACATGCTGGGAAATAATTACCATAATAAGCTTATGTATGTAGCCCTCCATAGTGATCTTTTCTCATGTGAATTTTTCTTTTGGGTGAGGACACATAAGACTGATTCTCAGCAGATTCATGTACATGAGGCATGGCCATTCACTCTTCAGTCTCTGTGCTCCCATACACGGGGTCCCTGGAACTTACCTGTTTCTTCTCTTCTTGGCTAGTCTCGCCTTTCTCTGCCCTTTCCCTGACTCCTGGTAACTGCTTCTACCCTGTGTTTCTATGGATTTGAGTTATCAGACATAACACAGACAAGAGACCATGCAGCATTTGTTCTCTGCAGTGTGTTTTAGCATGGTGTCCTTTAGGTATCTATGTTGCGTTCCCAAGGCAGGATTTTATCCCCCGCCCCAGACATATGTGGGTCGTGTTTTGAGTTGCGTTTCCTGATGGCTGTTATGCATCTTTTTCATATGTGTGTTGGCCATTTGTATCTGCCTGGGGAAAAGTATTGAGTCTTCTGCCTATTTTTTATTAATCATCTATTTACATTTCAAACAATATTCCCCTTCCCAGTTACCCCTCTTTAATAAGTTGCTTAATTTTTCTCTGGCATAGCTATTCTCTGTCTGCTAGGTTGTAAGGTACACTAATCACATAAACAGAACATGCAGAGTTAGACCTTTCTCTCTTAGATTAAGAATTGTGTACTAGATCATGAAAATGGTCTTCTTCGTCTTAGTGTATTTTAAGAACTGTTAAGACCATGACTGATATAATGATAGTAGAGGACATTTTTCAAAGCCAATTAGTAGGGCAATCAGAGATTATTATTTTTCAGTATTAGTGCTTTGCATTTTCAATATTGTCTATCACTGTGATTTATGTAAAACTAGTACCTATCACAATTCTGTGGACTTGATCTGCTGTGTGTGTGCATTTGTATGTTCACGAGCATCAATAACCGCATATGAAGTTGTGTGTGTGAGAGACCATGCATGAGTGCACATGCATTTATATGTGTGTGCATTTATGTGTATGAGCATGCATGAGTGCATTTGTGTGTGTGTGTGTGCACGCATGAGTGCATATGCATTTATGTGTGTCCTAGTGTTTTGTGTGTTGATGTTTGAATTGAGAGCTTGCTGCACGCTATCCATGTGCAGTGTTGACTGGTGTCCCAGGCTCTCTCTGTGCTATGTTTGGTGCCTAAGTCAATGAAAACAGGAGACAGCAGAATGACAGTGAGAAGGAGTTTCCTGGAGAACTGTTTTTGTTGTGCGTCCGAGTTTGGGAAAAGCGTTTTCTCAGAATCATGATTGTTCTTAGGTATTATTTTGAAATTGGAGGTTTTGGCATAGAATGTATAAAAAGAAATATTATTAAAAGTATGAACCCCTGGTGAATATGATTTGAATATACAAGGAAACTATAAATATCTTATGAATATAAAAATTGGGACATGTGTATATGTATTTATATTACTAAGCTGCTATCTTCACTGGATTATAAAGTGAAATTGAAACTACCTTTGGATTGCCTTGTAGAGTAAAAGCTAATTTTGATAAATTTGCACAGAATAACGATTATTAAACATCAAATTTATAAAGAATAAGGTATCTAATTTCTTGTAATTCTTCTTTAGGTCGGGATTTAGTTTGTATCCAGTCTATGGATGGGATGCTGATGGTGTTTGAGCAGGAAAGCTATGCGTTTGGGAGATTTCTCCCTGGTTTTCTTCTGCCTGGCCCTCTTGCTTACAGTCCCCGCACGGACTCCTTCATAACTGTCTCTTCTTGCAGACAAGTGGAAGGTTACAAGTGAGTCTGTGTGTTACCTTTGGAATCATGATTATTGTGTTTGTTGCTGATTAATTATTTTTCTGGAAGACCTTGAATATTACAAATGACATTACTGTCTTCTTTGGTAAAATTTAACTATAATGGCTTAGAGCATCACAGTGATGTATATAAAGTATTTGGAAGGCTGCGCCATGTACTGATTCCAAGAAGCCCAGAGGAGGCAGCTCTTACCACTGCTGCATGGTCAGCATCCTTAGCAGATAACACTGCCAGTGTTGAGTAGTTTGTTACAAAGATTAAATGTGTTTCAACTCACCACCAATAGAAAATGCTGAATGCTAACATGATACAATGACAATTTGATGACATATATTGATAATATATGACATATACTGATATATATATATGATACATACATCAGTCTATTGTATATATGACATATACTGATATATATGATGCATACATCAGTCTGTTGTATATATGATACATTCTGATATATATGATGCATGCATCAGTCTGTTGTGTATATGATACATCCTGATATATATGATACATACATCCGTCTGTTGTATATATGATACATTCTGATATAAGGACAATACAATGGGTGACTGTGGTAGTGCATGTCTTTAGTCTCAGCACTTAGGAGGCAGAGGCAGGTGGATATCTGTGAGTTTGAGGCCAACCTTACATGGTGAGTTACAGCCAGGGCTACATAGTGAGAACTTGTTTCAAAAAAGCAAACAATACAAAACAAAGCAAAACAAAGAGTTATCTGCCTCAACAATGGGTAGACAGACAATCAAATGCAATATTGAGTGAAAAAAGCCGCGTACAAGGTTACATGTGTGGAATGACTTTGTAATAACAAGGAATGCATATAGCATTTGAAAATTTTCTGAGAAAAGGTATATCTGCTGCAATAACTGTTCCTGGTCTTTATAAAGGAGCAGTTCATTGTAGACAAGGCATAGAAGTGACCCCATGAACATAATGTATGCTTCTGCTAGAAATTACTTCAGCTCTTCCTGAGTTATGTTTGAGAGAAAACATTTTTCTGCTTTGTCAGGTAAATATCAACAAATATTATTGTTGGTAGAGAGACTGAGAAAAGAAGTAGAAATTCATTCTGGGAACAGAAATAGGGTTGGTTTAAAACATCTTTAGCTAGTTATCATACTGTATTTTAAAAAGATTTATTGTTAATTTGTGTGCATATATGTGCCTTTGTGGTTTATATGTACCACATGTGTGAAGATGCCATTGAGGCCAGAGGAAGGTATAAGGTCCCCTGGAACTGGACTTACAGGTGGTGGTGGGCTACCAGAGGTGGGTGCTGGGAACCAGCCTGAGTTTGCCCTTCACTGCTGAGCTGGCTCTCTAACATTTATTGTCTTTGTGATGACAACACTTAGAACTTTACGCATCATATTATTCTGCTGTTGCTTTTGGCCTCCTGATGTTTCCCGAGTTGGAAAGAAAATAAACATCTTTTGGGCAGTGGCCATATAGATAGTGCCTTCATTTCATTGTTGTGTGTTCAGTCAGTTAGGCATTTTCCCCTTTGTAAGTGGGAGTCTTTTGTTGAATGGTTGTCCATCCTAAAAACAAACAACTGTGTGTGGGGAAGCAGCAGCTGACATAGTGGCAGGTCACCACACTGAGGTCCTCTGAAGTTCCTTTGGCTCTTGCCCAGAGGGAATGAATTGTGGTGTTGGCTCTGAAAATAAATATCTTTTGTTTGAGAAATTTTGAAAAGTGTCTGTGTGATTTACTCAGTACTGCCAAAACTCAGGCAATACTCTTACCTCCTGCCAAGCAGGGCTACGGCAAGGGCATAGCACACAGATCTGAATTTGCCATTGCTTACTCTCTGACTCGAGTGTGTTTGTGTGTGTGTGTGTGTGTGTGTGTGTGTGTGTCTGAGAGAGACAGAGACAGAGACAGAGAGAGAGAGAGAGAGAGAGAGAGAGAGAGAGAGATAGATTTAGTTTGTAGTAACTCTAGGAGAGATCTTACTAAGAGGCAACAGCCATGTTTCCTTAACATGTGAGATGGATATCACAAAAGTCTTGATTCAACTCTGATAGTTCTCAAATATACTGATCTATTTAACTCGTTTCTACCGAAGGTAAAAAACCTCACACTTTATCCATTATGAGGTTAATTTATGATGGTAAAAATGCACAAGGCATGAGACAGTTGGTAAGATTTCTAGCATTATGTTCTGTGATGTATGTGTGCATGCTTTGAACTTTAATAGATCGGATGAAATGGCAGTCACCAGGGACATTAGGAAAGGGACACGCACAAAGCTCCTGCTTCCTTTTCTTGGGGTCTCATTAAGTCTGTGTTATAGTCTATCAGTTATAGGTGGTAATTGGCTGATAGAATGGGCTTTTAAGACATGAGTCACCTTCATTTCGATATTGATAGGTAACCACTTTAAAGTTACTTATATTCAGATACGAGCATGTCAGGCTTTCGCCTCAAGCTTTAGCACATGGAGCAATCTTCTGGCCAGCTTCTGGTTAATGCACATTTACACATCCTCAGCCCCAAGTCCGTACACTTGGGATAAGACACAGAACTCATCATTGTAAATACAGACCGCAAATGATTTTTAATTTAGAATCGAGCATTGTTCTCCCTCTTCCTCTCTTTCTCTCTTTCTTTTCTTTTTCTTTCTTTCCTTTGAAATAGGACTTGACTCTCTAGCTCAGGCTGGGTGAAGCTATAATCCTCCTGTCTCAGCCTCTAATTTAGGATTACAGACATGTATCATCAAGCCAGAATTGTTTATGTTTATGAATGTATACATTTTTGTCTGCGTGTGGACACGTATTTGGGACCAGACATGTGTGGCATGGTACATGCCTGGAGATCACAGACAATTTGCTGGGGGAGTTGATTCCATCCAAGATCAAACTTAGGTTGTTAGGCCTAGCAACAAGTACTTTTACCCTCTGGCTTATTGCACATTAAAAAAAAACAACAAAAAAGATTCATTTATTTATTTTTGTTGTGTAGGTGTTGTGTGCATGTGTGCACCATACTGTATGTGTGCATGCCATACTGTATGTGTGTAGGTCAGAGGACAACTTGTATAATTTGGTCCTTTCTTTCTAACATGTGGGACCAGGAGATAGAACCAGGTCGCTAGGCTTGCCCCAAGGGCTTTTTTTGCAGCGGTCTTGCCAGGTCCTGGTTTTCCTTCTGTGGGAGAATTGCTTGTTCTGTTTTGAGGCAAGGGGCTTTGATGTCTCTGTCTTCCTGGTCATGAGTTCAGATTTTGCAATATCTTTTTCCTCTTTTCCTGTCAGGATTACTTACTTAGCTACACAATTGCCCATGAGATGGGGAAAGAGGTTTTAGGGAAGGAGGGAGTTGGAGGGTAATAGGATAAGTGGGACTTGAAAGTAGTATCAGGGGGAGGGGATATGTGGCCAGAGGGCATAGCCAATTACATATTCTTTTCCCAGACCCTCCTTCTTACAAACGATATTTAACCAAAGGCCCACCCTGGGAGTGTGTGGGTACCGCCAGATCATCTACATCCCGCCATGAAAATAAAGCTTTGGAACCATGGACTCCACGTGTCTCATGGGGGAGCTGCAGAGAAGGCCTTTAACACCGCCACTGCTACTGTAGCTGCAGCTGCTTAATCTCTTGCCTGGAGAGCTTCTCTGCATTCCACCATGGAGGTCTGCCTCCTCAAGCAAGCTAAGCAGGCCGTCCTGCTGGGCACTGCTGGGGCTTCTTCTCTTCCCTCTCCCTCTCTCGCTTCTCTCTGCATGCAGATCAATTGCACACCAGCACACTCCCAGTCTCAGACCTTCCCCGGCCTCTCAGTAGCGTCTGAGAGCCCAAGGGCTTGAGACCAGTTGGTCCCCGACCACCTCCACCTCCTGGACCGGGGATCCCCAACTCGTGAGCCCCTGCCCCCTTGCGGAACCTTCAGACTGAGTGAGAACTCCCCCCACCAGGCGGGGCCTAGTAGCACTCAGTCAAGATTCCTGCTCTCCAGTTTCTCCGGAGCCATGGGAATCACAACCGCCTGAAAAGGTTCAAGAACCCAAGCCCACATGCCCACATGCTCACGTGCCAAGCTAATCATTCCCCGAAGGTGCCCATCATCCTCTTAGTGCTCCAGGATGCCCGCCATCCTCTTAGTGCTCCAGGATGCCCGCCATCCTCTTAGTGCTCCAGGATGCCCACCATCCTCTTAGTGCTCCAGGGTGCTCATCATCCTCTTAGTGCTCCAGGATGCCCATCATCCTCTTAGTGCTCCAGGATGCCCGCCATCCTCTTAGTGCTCCAGGGTGCTCATCAGCCTCTTAGTGCTCCAGGATGCCCGCCATCCTCTTAGTGCTCCAGGGT